AGCTCTGGTAAGAGCTGTTTTATATATGATCAAGTTTTAATGATATTCAGGTGTTTGTCTGTTCATTTTTAAATGTGTTACTTCTGTTCTTGGCCTTGTCTCCATTGTTAACTTTATCTTTCACCTCAATGGTTAAATAAAGGCTAATAATAATGAATAATAAATATAAAAATAAGATAACTGTTGCAGGTAAATGATGTCATATTTAATGCAAGCAGGCTATAGAATTATAATGGAGCCTGAATGTCATAGTTGAAAGATTTGTTTGTTTTGGATTTTCAGACGTCAAAGTTCACCAGATGTCAGAACCCAGATGTTTTATCACCAAACGGTGCAGAGGACTGACGAGCTGCAGACTTATTACTCGTGAGTTTCAATAACTATATGAATATGATGAAAATATTGATTTCAAATCGTTCCTCGCATGTTTCAGTGTTATGAAAGCCGTGTCACACACAGTGAGAACTGCACAGCTTGTCTCTGTGCCTGCGTGGTGTGAAACCTCCTATATAAACTGTACCTCTACCACCAAATGAGTGGATTTCTTCGTCTGGTTCAGACGGAAAGATGACAAGATTATTATTGACTCCAGGACACTGTCAGCGGTACCATGGATAATAACCTACCTACTGAGCTTATTTTAGAGTCCTGAGAGGCCAGTGAGCAACTGCCAATGAGGAATAGTTCACAGACCTGTCATGAAACACAAGGGGCTCTCACCTCCCGCGGATGCAGGGAACTACCTACAACCTCTTACCGCATGCTGCAGCCTCGTCCGTGTGGAGTCATGTCCCCGGGTTTCTAACTCCCGCACTTGTGCATAGGAGGTTGTACAAAAACATCAGTCAAGTGGAGGGTGCGCGGCTTAACTCTCGCTGTCCCCTTTTGTGTGCCATACAGGGGCTGGTGAGCAGGAGGTTGACAGTTGCCTTGGGCGATAGGGGGGAATTGTAATGTGGATTTTCTCTCTCTCTCTCTCTTTCTCTCTCTCTCTCTCACTGTGGTGGTGGTGGTGGGGGGGTTATAAATAAAGAAGGCACCCAGCTGCTATTTACAGATATCTTCTTTCTCTAGCGTGTGCAACAGAGACGCACCAAGTGGAATCCCAATTTCCTATACCAAATAGTTTGATAGATTGGAGGATGTAACTCTTAGTGTGTAGTTAGACTGCCTCCTGGTGGACAGTTTGTGAGAAGAGAAGGAAATCAACACTGTTAAACCACTTTTGAATGTACAGTCTTTGATTTTAGATGATGGAAGGATGGGTGGATAGATAAATAGAACGTTTTATTCATTTGCTGCCCATTCGACCAAGGTTCTCTGGTAGAGGAGATATTGCAACTCAGTGGGGCCTTCCTGGTTAAATCCAGGATAAATACATGAATAAAACAGAATCACAGCATGCCTCAAACCTTGAGGCAACTGTTTGATGGAGGCTCGATGCCCAATCCTTCATGGAATAGTTTCCAGAGAAGAAACTGAATGGCCCGTAGACACCACTGATCTGAACCATTCAACATCTTCAGGATGAATTCAGGATGTCATCTGAGCTGCAGCTCTTGTATCCGACTTTACTTTAACGTTTGTGTTGCTGAATCAGAGCAAATCCCTGCAACCAGGCTCCAAATGTAGCACTTTACTAAAGCTTGTGGTTTTATAATAAGATTTAAATACAGTACAATGGAGCTTTATTAAGAGTTTGCATGCTGGCCATTGTAGTTTACATAATCCAATTAGCATGCACATGTGAAGAAAAATAATCATACATACTCTCTCCCAAGAAGCTTCTGACTGTTGGACACTGATATCTGTAATAACCAGACATCTTAGCAGTGTCCTTTGAGCAGATGAGCAGTGAACACAGGCCTGTTCTCAGTGTGAGTCCCTCTCAACAGCAGCATCAGTTGAAAACACAAGTGCAAAGTGACTAATTAATTTTCTCAGAACTGTGCTTCAGCCCAATTTTGAGGTACTTGGACCTGATTACAGTTCTGTGTGACTTTTACTTATACGCACCAGGACCAGATGCAACATTAACAGGCTGCTTATTCATTGATGAATTCACTATTTAACAGTTTGAGTGCAGGGAGTTTTATTTTTTATGGCCACAATATTAGATTCTACTTTTAAATACAAAATTTTAGCTTCGGTGAAATGTTTTGACACCAACGTGCTCCTTTTGAAAGGATCTGAATAAAACCTTTTCCTCTGACTGAAAGCCAAAATGTTAATGTAAGCTCCAGAGTGCACAAGCCTGAAATCATCTACACCATAACCGTATGTTTTCCTTGAATCCACCTTTCTTTTCTAACCTTAAGAAACGGAGTACATTCATGTAGCTGTCAGTCACAGGCGTTAGCTCGGATTAGTGCTTCCATCAGGCAACATATCAGGGTTATCAAATCCACACACCTCAGGTGTCAGCTGTTTCCACTAAAAGGCGCTAATCATCGAAAAAGAGCGTAGGAAGGAAAGTAGGTTTTGCATAAATCCATAATTATTGTCGCTGCCAATGAGTATGATTTTGAAACAGCAGAAGAGACTTGTAGACAGTAACACAGGAACTACAATGTCATTTAACAATTAGTCTTAATATAATCAATTGTGTCAATTGGTAAAGTAAATTCTTGTATGTGCAACATGATCATCAAGCAAAATTATGTAATTATCTATCAAGATTAGGATATCAGTTAATTACATTAACATATTTGATCACATTCTATACACATCCAGAGGGATATTTAAATCTGACACGTAATTATATTGCATAACACACACACACACACACACACACACACACACACA